GTGCATCCCCTCTAGGTTATCCATTTTGTTTCCATATAGTTGTTCTTAATATTATCATATGATATTCTGTATTTCGCTGTTTTGGGTTGTAATTTCTCCATTTTCCTTTCTTATTTTGCTCATTTGTGCTCTCTCTTTTCTCTTCTTTGTGAGATTGGCCAGAGGTTTGTCGATTTTATTTACTCTTAAAAAAAAAAAAGCTCTTGTTTTGATTGATTTTTTATATTGTTTTCTTAATCTCTATTTTATTTATTTCCTCCCTGATCTTTATTATTTCCTTCCTTCTGCTTTTGGGTTTTTTGCCCTTCTCTTTCTAATTCTTTTAGCTGATAGGTTAGATTGTTTATTTCAGATTGTTCTTCTTTTTTGAGGAAGGCCTGTATCACTATAAACTTCCCTCTTAGCACTGTCTTTGCTGCGTCCCATAAATTGTGGTGTGGTTGTGTTTTCATTTGTCTCAAAGTATTTTTTAATTTCAATTTTGATTTCATTTTTGGTACTTTTTTTTAGTAGCATGTTGTTTAATTTTCATGTTTTCATCTTCTCTTATTTTTCTGTAATTGATTTCTAGTTTCATGGTATTTTGGTCAGAAAATATGCTTGAGAGAATTTCTATCTTCTTAGATTTGTTGAGGCTTCTTTTGTGCCCAAGTACATGATCAACCATAGAAAATGTTCCATGTGCACATGAAAGGAATGTATATTTTATTTTGGGGGTGTGTAATGTTCTGAAAATATCAACCAAGTCTAGTTTTTCTATTATATCATTTAATTTCTCTGTTGCATAATTTATTTTCTGTCTGGAATATCTATCCAGTGATGTTAATGCGGTGTTATGTCTCTGACAATGACTGTATTCCCATCAAGTTCCCCTTTTATCTCTGTTAGTAACTGCTTTATATACTTGAGTGACTGTGCTTTCTCTAGGGGAGAGTTTAGCATGGTTTGGGGCTCTGTCTCATGTGATTACATGTGCCATGTATAGATGAAGAAAATGACTGAGCTGCCATCTTCTTGGGCCCTTTCAGAAGTGGTGTCCATCCCTGAGGGGCCCCTGTGAGCAAGGGATTCCTGCAGCTGCCACAACTGGTGTGAGCCTGACTCCCAGCTACACATCCTGAGATAAACAACCCTCCATCTTGTTTAGCATAAGTGCTGACCTGAAATTCAGTGGATCTTCATGATAGAAGTTGAGTCATGACATATTTATTAAGCCAAGTGATGGATTTGTCACTCAGAGTAACCCCAAATTAATTCAAGGCACAGTTCTTGTCATTGAGGAGCTTATAATGTTGGTTTAGCTAGTTGACCACACAACATCCATTTGTTTGGAGTGGCCAAGTCTCCACTTTAGGCTCAGTGTGATGCATGGAATGATGGCCAGCAGACTTCTCAGGGCCTGTGTAAGGCACAGGCAGGTCACTTCCCCTCAGCTCATGTGCATTAACACTGCCAGCAGCCTGGAAGCAGAGTGAGGGTGGCTGTTTGTGCATAAGCACTGTTATTTCACTAGGACTGCTATTTCGTCTTTGAATTTTGACTTCAAAGGAACATTGTCCTTATTCCTGTCACTTGCATTACTTTGAAGCATACAGCTTTGCCTTGCAGATGAAAGAGAAGACATTTATCAAGGAAAAGATTCAGCCAACAGCTCTCTAAACTCAGTCCCAAAGAAAGCCTTGAAATGCTTCAATCACAGCTGCAGGGGAGAGGGTGGAAGATGAATACTGGGATGAGGCTCTGTTTCAGGTGCTGTTAAGGCAACTCTGGCTTGATATAGTGTGCCCTTTTGAGCTCCAGGAAACTTGGCCTGGGAGTTGGCCTATCTCTGTAGAAAGGGGTGAGTTAATGCAAAGTTTCACTAATCCTGTTTATCTTATTTAAAGCAGGCATTATTATCAATGAAGCCAACGTGGTCACTCACTGTGTGCCTTTGAATTCTTCAAAAGCCAAATCAGACTGAACATCTGAAACTTGGCTGATGATTTTGTCAGTTTCTTTCTTACAACTTTCTTTTGTTAATTCCTTTGAAATGAAACAGGCAAAATTTTCTTCCTGATTCTCCTATCTTGACTCTAAGAGCACAAGTCTGTGTGCACATAACCATCTCTGTTGTTTATTTCTTTTCTCTCTTAAGATACAAGAATAATGAAGGGAAAAACTTAAAATGGGAAATTAAAAATAATAGCAAAGCAATTCTTTAATTATAAGTATAAGAGAGATACTCAAGGGAAGTATCTCCCACCAGAGAGGAAGTAAAATTGATGATAGCTATCAGTGGACTTATGATCACATCTTTAAATGTAATTTTTCTGTAGATCTTTTTTGATCAGATAAACAGAGTGAATTTTGTCTGTAAGGAAGTGATGAAGCAGAGCAGAGGTGGAAAGGAAATGATTGTCTAATTGGGTACATTATAATCAACTGATTCTGATAACATATATACCATAAACCCTAAGAAATTAGTGATCCATAAGTGATCCGTGAAACATAGGCTAATTTTCAGGGTTACTTTTTTCTAGTTATTCATATTTAAAATAATACCAATGGATAATTCTGATTAGTATAAAACAATTCAACTAACTTGCATTTCAGCTAAATTTTCAAACCATTGTTTTCCACTAAGAAATGCATGAGATCAAGATCATTAAGATGACATTGTGAGAAGCCACTGGTTCCAGACAAGTTTTATCATACAACCTGACAGCTCCTGTGGGAATGGAGACAGCTTTATTTCTAGCTGCAGTTTTAAAATATTGAAAGATACCTGCTTATTCTTATCTATACATATCCCTTACTGTACCACCACCACTCCCTGAAATTTGGGTGGGCCCTGTGACTGGTTTTAGCCAATGGACTGTAAGCAAGGTGGTAAGTGTCACTTCCAGGCCAATGCTCTTTCTCTCTATAATAGGGACTTGGGGGTCATGTGGTGAGATGGCCAAGCTTCAAGCTAACAACTGCCTGAGTCACTTCCCATAGAGAGGAAGTGTGCAGAGTTATCCACTTAGTATTAGATCTGGTGTGAGCAAGAAGTAAACCCTGGTTCAGTTAAGCCACTGAGATTGTCAATCTTTATTTGTTATATTGGCCTATTTTCACACATCTTCATTAATCCAGAATCTTGAAGGAAATCTAGTCTTACCTCATTTCCATCATAAGAATCCTTCAAAATCATCCCTGGGACATGATCAAAATACTTCTGGAACACCTTCGGAATAATACCAAGTCATGTAGGAAGCCATTATATATTGTTTACTATACATAAAATTGTTTTCAGTCAAATTTTTATGTATTTTATATGTCTTAATGTACAGAATCCTCACAAAAACCTTAAATCATTGATATACTCTTCCTCATTTTATGGCTGGAGAAACTGAAGCACAGATAAGGAAACTTGTTCAGTACTGAACAGATAAGTCATTTGCCTATGGCACACTGAGTCAAGTAGTCTCCTAGGAGTCAAGTCCAGGCAGCTGCTTTCAGTTTATGCCCATAACCACTGCATTATGCTATTTCCCTAGATTGGATTCTCATTTCATTTTCTCATGTATTATTCAACAGAACACAGAATCACAAACCCCAAAAGAGAAGGCTGAAAAGGAACTTAGAGGTCAATCAGTCATTGCATTTTACATGGAGGAACAAAATATCCTGCAAGCCATTTTCATGTATTAATGAAAAACAAAGATTTTTTTTCCTTTCTTTTCAACCCAGTGACCCACAGAGCACTGAGACCCAGTAGAAGGACTTCAGGGATGTCAGGTTGGAGGCAGAAAGAGACATGACTTCAACCAAACCAGCCATGTTCTAATCTGTTTTATACAGTAGGCTTCTGGGTAAAATTTGAATGTGAGTAAAGTATTCTGCTGCTTTAATGAATTTGGAAAATGGTGGATCTCTCCATACTTCTACGGAAATAGCAGACTTGGACAGTTGTGCTAAACAAGGTAGAGCTTCATGTCATTTGGGAGTTGGAGGGGCATGGATTTTACAGCCCATTGGGCAGGTCTGGGGCCAGGAGGACTTGCTGCTTACATAAATGCACTCACTAGATTGCCTATTCCTCATTGTCCCCCATGGTGATATGCAATACAAGCTTCATAAACTGTATCTCAAGGAAGGAAGGAGAGTTCCAAGATCCTTTGATGAAATGATTTCTCAGAAAGAAGATAAAGCCCATTTGAGTTGAACAAAGTAGTCACCTTGGCTGTGGGGACCCAATATCAAATAAATGGCTGGAAATTTATTATTGTGAGTTTTCTGTCCATGCGTCCTTCAATGAGCAGTGGGGGGTTTCTTCTCCCAAATCTCTGGTTGGTAATAAGTGAAAAGTGAATGAATAGATGGATGGTGGGTAGATGAAAAATAGTGAATATTGAATTGACTAATTTGTTCTCAGGGAAAACACAAGCGACAGCCTCAACCAAGAACAGGCAAACACACACCAAGATTTGATTCATTTTAACACAACTAATTAAACAAAATTATCCACATTTGCTGATCACGTTAAGAGGTGAATTAGAAAGATTTCCCTGCTTTAAAAATCACCCCCCCACTTTTTTGTGCTGACAGCAGTTCTAGTACATTTCTGCTCCCTGTACTTTTATATACCATGTACTGTTGATGCACACATGGCATAGCTTACAAATAGGTTATGTCAAGACAAAAGTGTATATTTGAGAAAGGCAAAGTTTTATGGGGCAGAAGAGAGACAGAGCAAGGTCTAGGAAAGGAGTTCAGGGGAGGTGTGCTCACTGCAGACCCTCTTACCTTGCGTGGTCCCATCCAGTCCCATGATGAACTTCATTGACCTGATGATCTGCTCAGCTACTGGGGGGCTCATGGATGTAGCATATGCAGCACTGTGCGAGTGAACCCGTAAATAATCCACAAGGTCCTTTAATAAAGGAGGGAAATCCAAAAAGAAGGCAAATGAATCTCCATGTTGGTGGTGAGAATCACATCTAGTCCTGTCTCCATCCATCATAGCACAAGGCATTTGAGTCTTGAATGTGGTCTGCTTTTCAATGGGCATCACCAAACTGTTCATATTTCTATCCCTTCTTCTTGGTCTCGCCCTTAAAAACCTAAAAGGTCTACAAAAATGGGATGCTGCAAAATTGGAGTTGAGGTCTGTAAGGCAAACCCAGATGTGTAAAGGGAAAATGGTTCCCTTAACATGTGTTTGGGTAGCTGGCCTGTAGGAACACTGGGTTAGTATTCAGGAGTGTCCAGAGAATACAGGTTGTGATTTTTGCCTTGAGCGTGTTACAGTTGATTGTGCCCATGGAGGGGTAATGGCAGAAAAAGTAGCAAGACATGTAAACTCATATATGCAGCGTGGCTAAGAGACTGTAGAGGATAGAGATGGGGTATGGCCATGGGAGTAGATAAGGGAGGCTCCAGTGAGAATCTGGAGTGAAGTCTCAAGGAAAGAGGCAGATAAAGATAAAAAGAAAACTTCCAGGGGAGGGGAGTGGCAGAAGGAAGAAGTGAGAAATTAAACCAGAGTGGAGGTGAGGACCAGATGAACTCTGGTCGTGCCTGGGCAGGAGGGAACTACTAGAATATTCTTTCAACACCATTTGGAGTGCTGACCCCCTGAAGGATTCTGCTCTGTGCTGTGGTGGGCATGATTCTCCACCCACAGGCCTGGACTCTGAGACCAAACATAAGGTCCCAGGTAAGCCTGCTGAGAGCCCAAAGAAGCTCCAATAACTTAATTCTACACAGAGAGGTTGGGGGAGGGGCCTCAGACCTGGCATCTGGAGGCCCTCAGCCCTGGCTGGACAGACCTTCTATCAGCCCACCTGTATTGGCTGATAGCCTGGGACCATCGGGGTGTCCTACAGGAAATCTAGTGGCCCATGACAGCTCTGAGTTAGAAGTGGGGTCTGCAAGGATTTAGCCACCTTCTCTTCCAGGAAAACGAGGCAGCTGAGAATCTCACTTAATCCCACTTCTCTGATCATCCCCTCGAAGATGAACTAGGGGGAGATTCATCTCTCCAGTCCTCTTTCACCAGCCATGTCCACTCGCATTTCTGGACCTGGGACTATGCTGGCCTTTCATCTTTCTCTCTCTGGGGGTGCACGTGTCATGGTTGTTACCCAAGCACCTTTTTTTACTTGTAATTTTTTTAATTGAAGTACAATCAGTTAAAATTGCTATGTTTATTTCTGGTGCACAGCATAGTTATTCAGTTATGTATTCATTTTCATATTCTTTTTCATTATAGGCTATTACTACAAGGTATTGCATATAGTTCCCTGTGCTAAATGGTAGGACCGTGCTGTTAATCAATTTTATATATAATATTTAATATCTGCAAATCCCAAACTCCCAATTTGTCCCTCCACCCACTCCTTCCCCACCCTGGTTACCCAAACATTTTAAATGTTCATAGTTCATCTTCATGTGAACTAGTAACTAAAGATGTTAGCTCATTAAGTAGAGAGTAACTAAGATAAAAGGAATTTTGCTAAACATTCATAGTAACTTAAGTGGCCTGTCTCACAGGTAGTTGCTGACATGATTACCATGCCTGGCCCCGGGGGGATCTGGTAGCTTCAGTCCGGCTGCCACCACCTCCACCCCGCCACTTCCTACAGGTCCATCATCCTAAACCCCCTCCTCCACACTCCTTCTTCCCCAACTTCCTTTCTCCTTCATTTCACACTCGTCATGCTTTTTTTTTTCTTTTCTTTCCCTATCCCATCTACTCTGATTCCTTCTCCACTTCCTTTCACTTTAAATTCTCCATTTAAATCTTTTTCCTCTTTTTTATAAATATTTCCTCCCTCCCTCCTTTTTTTCCCTCCCTTTCTTCTCTCCTTTTCCCCCCACCTCTTTCTTTCTTCCATCTTTCCTTCCAAAAGTTGGTACAAGGACTTGCTCTGGGTTTTGTTCTGGATGCAGGGGTCCAAGAAGAAGAGGGCAGAAAACCTAGTCCCTGGCTGCCCTTCTCATTTACATTAAATCAAAATTAAATTTCTGTCCTTTTTTTTGTTTAGTGAATCTCAAAAAAAATTGGAAGTCTTTTCGCCATATCTGACGATATGGTGATGTTGATCTGACCTGAAGCCCAGGCCACATGCTACCCCAGGAAGCCCACTTTGTGGGATGGGGGATGGTGGGGAGGGGCTCAAGGAGAAAGAGGTGGTAATTTTCCAAAGTAGCTACAGCCAGGCTGCCCTTCAGACTCCTCTGTGAGCAGCAGCAGGGTTTTCTTTCTCTGTTGAGAGCAGGTGCCTCCCCACATGATGCTGGGAAAGTCAATGAGGGGGGAGTATATGCGACACAGAAAACAGGATGATTGGGGCTCATGTGGACCTAAGTCAGGAAAGGGCTATTTTGAAGTGATCTGATCTTGGAGAATGGGGTGATTAGGATAGTTGCAGAGGAGGACAGAGGCAGGGACATGTGCTAAAATTAGGAATGAAGATTGCATCTTAATCAGCAAAGGATGGAGTTGTCAAGTGGGACTAGAGGGAGAATCTAGTGCCTCCAAGGAAAGGTGCTGAGGGCTTGTTCCCTCAAGGGCAGGTCTGACAGTAGAGTTATGAGACAGGCTCTGGAGCCTGGATCACATGAGTTCAGATCCTGGCTCTGCCACTTGCTGATATGTGGCCATGGGCAAGTTACTCTCTGTGCCTTATTTTCTTCTCTAAAAATTAGATAATGGTAATATTTATCTCAGGGCAATTTTGAGGATTAAATGAGTTTATATAAATGTGATGCTTAGAAAAGCATCAGATACATAGTGAAGACCTGATGCTGCTGGCAATGATTGTTAGTTGATTACAAACTCAGAGCTTCTTGAAAATGGAGCACAGAGTGGGAGGAGGGGACCAAAAATTAAAATTTGTTGGAGTGTCTTTATTCCAGCTCCCTCATTTTGCAGAGGGTGATGCTGTATGTTATGTAACTGCACACCAAAGATTTTCAGCCCAGAACTTCCTCCATCCTTGTTGGGCATTAATAGTAGGAGTGAAAGAAAAAGAAAAAGAAAAAGAAAAAGAAAAAGAAAAAGAAAAGGCATTTTAAATAAAGGACAACCCAGTCCTGATGACAGATTGTATGACTCTGCAGAGTTAGGAGGGATGATATATCCACTGATAGACTGAGAGCTAATAATCATTGGCTGCTTGAAGCTCCATTTGAATAACTTCACAAACATTAATTCATTTTAGATTCACAATAATGCTATGAGGTAGGTACTATTTTTGCTTCCATTTTATAGATGGGATCAATGAGTCACAGAACAGGTCAGAAAATTATCCAACCAAAACATTGTTAGATAACAAGGATTTTGATCCAAAGAGTCTGACTCTAGATTAACCACTGCTTCCCCATTCCCCTGCTTTAGCACCAAAGTATATGACTTTTTCATACCAGAGGAGCTGGCTTGGCTCGGACAGAGACCACCTTCACTGCTACTTACCCCTGTGGTGCCTTCCTAATCCATAGAGACTGTGCCTCTGGAGGAGGAGAGGAAGGCGAGCATTCCTAATATACTAAAATGTTCATAGCAATAAGCCACAGAATGAACTGCACCAGTCTCAAAAGTTTTTGCATGTATTAAGTTTAATTTCTTCAGAGAATGTAATCTCCCCAAGAGCAGGGAGCAGAGATAGACACTTTATTACATCCTCACTTAAAACCCATAGTGGTGGGTCTCGTCAATACTGATCATCTAACAGAAAGCAAGGGGGTTTAGGGGCTGAGAAAGGTTGGTGAGAGTCCCTGAAGTATAGAGGGGGATATGAAGCTGCATTCTTAGTAGCAGGTGTAGCAATTTTCTCTTATCCCTGGGGGATCACTGACAATGATCAAAGAAACAAAACAAAGCTGCCTCTTATCCCTAAAGGGCTTCTTATGTCCCCAACCCCCAATTTTCCTTCACAAATTGAAGAATTTCATAAAGCCAAGATCACATGTATCCTTAGTTTCAATTAATACCTCACCAGCTCAGTATCACTTCCTTTTAACATTGAGACTGTCTTGCCCATAATCCTATTTCTTTCAGACTGAGTCCAGTTTCTCTTAGAGTTTTAGATCTTTAGCATTTAGCCAACTCTACATCCTATCAATTTCAAAGCATAGTTTAAAATAAACTCAAAGTTAAAATTCTCCACAGAATTCTTCAAAGTCCAGGAGAATAAAATTTGTGATTTAAATTAAAAGTACACATAATTTAAAATTAACATAAGTTAACAAATTAAAGGCACAGAGGAGCAGGTGCATAAATTAAATTAACTCATGGGCTCATTAAGCTGGAAGGAAATCATAGTTCAACTGGGTTTATCACAGTCTCACCAAACGATTCCAGACAGGTGTTTTTCTGACTGATTTTTAAATCATCAGGGAATGACATATGCAGACACTTTCTCCTATCTCCTGCTCACCGTCCATGTCTTGAAGACTGCTCTGCATTCTACGTTTTGCATTTTGCTGTTTCAGGGCAGTAAGTCTCTGTACAGGCTAGTGTGTCTCTGCCAAAGACTCTAATTCTTGTTGTCTAGTAGTAAATTCAGAATCTGCAGTGTATCTTGGAGTGGGAGGAAAAAGAGGAGATGGGGAGGAAGGGTGGAAGGAGAATTGAGGAGGGGAAGGGGATGGGGGAGGGAAACAAGAGGAGGAGGTAGAGGAAGGGGGGGAAGAGAAGGCGCAGGGGAAATGAGGGAGAGGGGAAAAGGAGGGAGAGGAAGAGGAAGAATGATGCAGTCCTCTGGGTTCAAGGACGCCCAGAATGACTTTTTAAAGAGGAAAAACAATTAAATAATTTTTCTTCATCCTGATTAATGTAAATAATATTCACAATTTCTCAATATCTACCCCAAATCAATAAAAGTTACATAGACAAGAGCAAATACACTTTTGAATTAATCCACCAGACTTCAGGATGGAGAGTATGAGAGAGAACCACACTGAACTTATCGGAACTTTGGGATGTCAGGAGTCTTTGTTTAAAGTGGGTTTCAATGAAGGTACTCTAAGGGGAAATTTGTGACAGCTACCAAATTTGACAACATTTCAAGCATCCACTCACTTCAGTTTATTTAGATGCCTTTGGTTCAGGAGCAGAGTTACACTTGGTGAAAAAAAATCTGTAGCTCAGAACTGCTGCTAAAGTCATCACAAAACACAAGATCACAAAGCAGAATAGCTTGGGTGAGAATAGAGGGTTCAAGACCCTCTGACCACACAGCTTTGACAGTCAAAGAAGGGAACATTTAGCCTCTCACCATATTTACCGAGTTTTGTAGCATCCCAGGCATTCCCTCTGTTTTTAGCATCACCCAGCTAACACCCTCAGGACACAGAAGGGAGAATGAACAATGCTTTGACCTCTGACTACTGAAAGCTCTGTACATTTTAAGTATTTGTGCATCTCATGGAAAGGTGAGAGGCCACAATAAAATCTGTCATTTTAAATGATGGGCTTTCAATCAGACAGTTTTTGGTTGTACTCTCTGGTTTGTCTAACTGGCTCCCCAAGAGTCTGATCTTCTGTTCCTGCTGGTGACAATGAGGAAGGACTTGGGAATTTTAGATGTGCCATTGAGCCACCTGCATGCATTGCTTTTGGGCCTGCTGTCCCCTTGTAGGTGGAGCCAACACCATCCTGATAGTCTCTTGGGACAGGTGTAGGCCTGTAGGAGATAGCTACTAGGATTTGGACAAAATTGTAATATGATGGAGCAGATAACTGAGTCTTTTATTGCTCAAACCAAGATTTTAATATTTCCTTTACTTTCTCTTTTTCTCTTCCCTCTTCTTGTAATATTCTTTTGAACATTTGTTTTATGTTGGCAATCACCTTGGTGATACTGGCTCTAGAAAGACAGGGATAACACTCACTTAACAGTCTAATCCCATCAGATCAGAATCTGAAGACACATAGATAAGATATTGGAGGATGACAAGGCTTGACCTATAGCTTATCCAAAACTGTGGGAGAAAATTAGTTTGCAGAGAAGAATCTCCTAAAAAAGACATTTCTGATCTTGCTGCTATTTTGATTAAAACTCTTAAAACCCACATCTTGTAGCACAGTGTTAGCCTCCTTAACATTTGACCTTTGTCCACTGTTTCTACCACCCACCTTATGTTTTTCATGCCACACAGACCAAACAACTTGCAGTTCTGTAACATCCCATTATCACTTCTGTGGCTTGATACTCATGATTCTCTCTTTCTGAAAATATACTCTCCCCCATCATTTGTCTACAAGACTGACATTCATTCTAAGACTTCTTAGATTCTGCCCAGCAGAGGTCATCATCCCTCTCCTTTGTACTAAGTCTGTGCCTGTGTTCAGTGCTATCTTTTTATTCTCATATGATCACTCATCACAGGCTCATCTGCTCTATCAGAGGGTGAGCTCCTTGACCTTCTGGGTCTGACCTGGCTGTGATCACACTGTAGCTACCTGTGCTGATGGATCAAGGTGTGCTGAGCTGAACTGGAACACTCATGGGAATCAGAGAACCCCGAAGACTGCCTTCCCAGACACAAGGGACCTCTCTCTTACCTTTCTTCCAGCTATGTAACCTCCTGAGGCTCCAAAGCTTTTGGTAAATGTGCCCATGCACACATCAACATCTCTGGGGTCCATTCCAAAGAACTCCACCACACCACGACCGCTGGGGCCCACAGACCCAATACTGTGAGCTTCATCTACGTAGAGGTAAGCCTTGTATTTCTTCTTTAGGGCCACGATCTGGGGCAGATGCACAATGGAACCTTCCATGCTAAAGCATAAGAAGAAATGGTGGTCACCAGGATGCACCCTCCTAGGAAGATTTGTGTCACCTCCCTTTCAGTATTTCTCAGACAGCCTTCCCGAAGCCAGACAGGGATGACAGCGACAGACCATTCCTTTCCTCTTAAGGCATATTTTATTTATTTCAAAACACACAAAAGAACTTTAAGACATCTTTGCATTAATTAATGCATAGGAGAAAGTCCTTAGGCTCTCCTGTCCAGTCCTCATGAACTCAGTCTTATTTGAGGCACTTGGTACTATCCCTTCTTTCTCTTCCTTCAGGGTAGGAGTTCTCAGTCTTGAGTGAGCATCAGAATCCCTTGAATGATTTGTTATAACACAGACTGCTGGGCTCCACCTCCAGAGTTTCTGGGTGAGTAGGTCTCAGGTGGGCTGAGAATTTGCATTTCCCCCAAGTTCTGGGAAGACTGCAGTACTACTGGTTGGAGAAAGTACTTTGAGAACCACTGCTATAAATAAACATTAATTTTGGTCCCAACTGCTTAATTTTTCATAGTATGATTGTAATTTGATAAATGTACATGGTATTGTAAATTGCAAAAACATTTCAAGTCCACCAGCAAAGGGAAAAGTAGGGCATAAATAAGCAAGGAAAATCAACATTCATATTTACATGGTACCTCTGGAACCCAATGAATTTAAAAGAACTTTTGTCTTTAATCAGTTTGCAGAATACTGTCAGCTGTGTCTACATGGTACACAGTATTGACTGCACTGACAGGCAAGTTCTATGAACCACACAGATTCACACCCTCACCCCACAAAGAGGCTTATCAAACAATTCAAGCAATCCATCAGTTTAGTTCAAGAACAAGTCCATTGACACAGAGTTTAATTTCTCCATTCTTCTTACTTAGTTTATTTAACATATTTAATGTATTAAAAAAAGTAAGTGTTAGGTCGATTCAGTGTAGTCACCCAGACCAGTGGGTGGTGGATGTAGCAATTATGCTTAATTTTTTTAAAGGACATTTATTTCTAGAACAGCAAAATTAAGCAGAGGGTACAAAGATTTCCTACATATCTCCTGCCCCACATATGCCTAACCTCTCCCACCAGCACAGTACATTTGCTTCAACTGATAAACCCACATTGATACATCATCATCCAAAGCTCATAGTTAATATTAGGATTCACTCTTGCTCGTATACATTCTGTAGGTTTGGACAAATGTATAATAACATGTATCCATGATTATATTATCCTAAAGATTATTTTCACTGGCTCCACTGTGCTCCAACACTTTATCCCTCTCCCTACACAAACTCTGGCAACCAGGGATCCTTTTGCTGTGTCCATAATTCTGTCTTTCCCAGAGCATTATGAGGTTGGAATTGTACACTATGTTACCTTTTCATATTGGATATTTTCACTTAGTAAGATGCATTCAGGTTTCTTCCATAGATTTTCATGTTACCATAGCTCATTTCTTTTTAGTGCTGAATGATATTCCATTGTCTGGATGTTCCACAGTTTATCTATACACTGACACTGAAGGGAATTTTGGTTGCTTCCAAGTTTGGGCAATTATGAATAAAGATGCTATAAATATCTGTGTGCAGGGTTTTGTGTGGACCCAAGTTTCCACCTCATTTGGATAAATAACAAGGAGTAGGATCACTGGATTGTAAGCTAAGAGCATGTTTGTAAGAAATGACAAAACTGTCTTCCAAGGTGACTGTACCCTTTGTATTCTCACCAGCAGTGAATTAGAGCTCTGGGTTGCTGCATATCCTCGCTAGCATTTACTGTTGTCAGTGTTCCTGACCTTCTAATAGGTGTGTATTGGTATCTTATTGTGTTAATTTTCATTTCCCTGTTGTCATATGGTGTGGAGCATCTTTTCATATGCTTATTTTTACTCATAAATCTTTTTTCTTTTGATATCTTTTAAGTCCTTTGGCCCATTTTTTAACCTGGTTGTTTGTTTTCTTATTGTGTTCTAAGAGTTCTTTATAACTTATCCATAACACTCCCACATCAGATGTATCTTTTGAAAATATTTTCTCTAGTCTGTGTCTTGTCTTCTAATGTTCTTGACATTGCCTGGCAGAGCAAAGGTTCTTAATTTTAATCAAGACCACCTTTTTGCAGGATAATGGCCAAGACAGTGGAGTAGAAGGAATCTCATAGCTCATCCTCTCCCACAAATACACCACACCAATCTCACTCTCTCCCACAAATACATTCACAGACCCACCCATCCACTCAGAACATATGCTGAACTTTGACAGAATATCACCTTCTTCAAAAGACAAAATACACCATGAATCTGGTAGGAGAAAAGGAAAAAAGAAGGAAGAAATATCAAAATAGTGTCAGACCAGTCCCATGGAGAGGGAGCAGCAAAGGAGGAATAGTGCTCATTCACTGGGTCTGCCCTTTTCCAACACAGAGGTCAGCAGGAAGGAGAGGGACTCTCTGAGGCTCAGATCTGTACAGAATAGCCCTTGACCATCAGAACTAAGATAAATGGGCACAGAGGGTCCCCATGACCCACAGTTCTAGAGGCAAAGGGGCAGGAGACAGGCTGCCCAAGCCAGGTGGAGGACTCAGGCCGGCTGTCCAGAGGCAACCACTGGGGACAGCAGTGTGATGTGCGCCATTGCTAGGAAGGTATATATAGCAGAACAACCTGGGTCACCCACAAAATATGAAAAAAAAGCAAAGCAACACTGCTGGTGTGCCCTGGGTCGAGGGGTGCCAAAGCCTTTGTCTCTTAAGACCTGTGGAACCATTGCTAATGTGTTTTCAGGAGAAGAGAGGTGGGGCTCAGCCATAGCCACCATATCCTCCAGTGGGCATCACCCAGGCAGGGTTGAGGTTGAAACCTGAATCTGTACCAAGGGTCTCTGCAACCTCATATCTGGAGTGAGACTTGTTTACAGTCCCAGGCAGATTGGATCGTTCAGCCTTAGTACCTCTGTGAACTCATGCCTCTAAGACAAATGAACAAGGAGCAGAGTTCAGGCACAGAGCAACAGCGAGGGCTAGTCAGCTGTTTTCTCAAATTCCGCCTATGAAGAGCAGACCTGAGTCAGAGAAAGGAGCTGTGTGGAGTAGGGGAACGACCACTGGCCTACCATGCACAAGCATGAGACTGGACTGCAGCTTTGGGAGGGGTCATGACCTGCACATGACATGCACAACCACACTGCCAGCATCAGGAGGGTGTGTGACCTGCCTCCTTGCCTTGTACTAGTGCAGCAGCGGACCACAGCATCAGGAGGGCGTGTATGCCCCCTGCCTAGTGTGCAGGAACACAGCTTCAGGAGGGGACACAAAGTTTTCAAGGGAACACATTCACATTTCTCCTTCTGTTCTATTTTCTTTTACTTAATTTTTAATTTTTGAAAGTTTTTATGTTACTATTTTGTAATCTTTTTAAAAAATTTTGGTTATAATATTTTTATTATAATTATTGTTTTTAATTTGTCTAAATTTCATTTTTATTTCTTTTGTTTTGTTCTGCTGTTATTGATTACACTCTGTTTTCAAATCTTTTGTCTTCTTTTATTTTTATTATTATTATTTTTAAAATTTCCCTCATTTTGATTTTTATTTCTCCTTGTTTTGATCTTCTATTATTCATTATAACCTATTTTCAAATATTATTTCTTCTTTTAAGAGTTTTAAAACAAGTCTCAACTTGATTTTTATTTTTCTTCAATTTTTTCTTGTATTATTGATTATACTGTGTTTTCAAACCTTTTTTCTTCTTGTAAATTTTTTTCTAGTTTTATTTCTTCATTCACTTTAGATAAGTAAATAAACTCCTAAAGGATCACAGTAGATAACTGATACTCCATAATCTATAGTGCCAGAGAGATATAAGGAAAATGAAGAAGCAGAGTAACCACTCCCAATTAAAAGAACAAGAGAAATTCCCTGAAAGAATTATCAATGAAATACACATTGATAGTTTACTATATCATGATTTCAAAAAAGGAGTGAACAAAGTACTGAAGGAACTAAAAGAGATTGTGTCTAGAGAAGAGGATATGTCAAAAACTATAAAGAGAAGACACTTAGAATTGGAAAACTCAATTGCTTAGATGAGAGCTGAAGCAAAGGCTGTAAAAAGCAGGCTAGATAATGTAGAAGAACAAATAAGCAATGTAGAAGACAGGACAAAAGATTTCATCCAATCAGAACAGCTGAGAGAAAAACAAATAAAAACCAATGAAAACAATATAAGGGGTCTATGGGATAATATAAATGTGCCAACCTATGCACAATAGGGGTCTCAGAAGGAAAAGAAAGAGCAAAGGGGATTGAAAAGGTACTTGAAAAAATCATGACTGAAAATTTCCCAAACTTAAGGAATCAGATATCCAAGTACAGGAAGCACAGAGTGTCCCAAACAAACAAATAACCCCCCCCAAATAAACATACACCAAGACATATTATAATCATGATGGCCAGGGTTAAGGATAAAGAAATGATTCTAAAGGCAAAAAGAGAAAAACAAGGAGTGAGTTACAAGGGAACCCCCATAAGTCTTTCAGTTGATTTCTCTACACAAACACTACAGGCCAGAAGGGAGTGGCAAGAAGTATTCAAAGTCCTGAATGTAAAAAAGGTGCAACCTAGGATACTTTATCCAGCAAGGCTATCCTTTAGGATAGAAGGGAGATAAAGAACTTCTCATACAAGCAAAAATCTAAAAGAATTTAGCAGCACTAAACCTATGTTAAAATAAATATTGAAAGCTCTACACTAAACAAAAGAAGCAATATGTGCAGAAAAGACAAAACCATAATTGGAAAAGTGATTACTACCATGAATTACAACAGAGTAAACATAAAGTTATAAAAAAGGCATCTAAATCATTAAGGGTGGGAGAAGGGAGCAAGAAAATATAGAGTTTCTTTTTTAATTGCTTGTTCTCAGTAGGCTGGGTTTGAGCTTATATTACTATCTGTTTAAAACAAACAGTTAAACTAATGGGTTTGTATATATACATAACAGGGTAACCATAAGCCAAAAAGTAACAACAGAGACACAGAAATTAAGAAAAAAAAAGATAATACAAAGGAAAATTATCAAACAAACAAAAAAAAAAGGAAATACCAAATCAACTGTAAAAATAAGTTCAAAATGGTAATAAACACACATCTATCATTAGTAAGCATAAATGTCAATGGACTAAATGCTCCAGTCAAAAGACATAGAGTGGCAGATTGGATAATAAGGCAAGAACCTACAATACGCTGCAGAAAGACACCCAATTTAGGGAGAAGGACACACATAGATTGATAATGAAAGGATCGAAAAAGACATGCCATTCAAATGGAAATAACCAGAAATTACAAGTAGTAATACTGACCTCAAATAAAATAGACTTTGAAACAAAGGGCCCAAAGAAAGATAAAGGACATTTTATAATGATTAAGGAATAATACAAAATGAGGATATTACACTTGCTAATGTATTTGCACCCAATATAGGAGCACCTAAACATACAAAATGAATAGTAACAGATATAAAGGGAGAAATTGATAGGAATATAATCATTACAGGAGACTTTAACACCCCATTAACATCACTGGACAAATCTTTCAGACAGAAAATAAATAAGGCAACAGAGAAATAAAATGACACAATAAAGCAACTAGACTTGGTTGATATTTTCAGAACATTAAATCCCAAAATCATAGACTATACATTCTTTTCAAGTGCACATGGAATATTTTCTAGGATAGACCATGTACTTGGGCACAAAAGAAGCCTCAATAATTTTACAAAGATAGAAATTATTTCAAGCATCTTTTCTGACCATAATGCCATGAAACTAGAAATCAACTACATAAAAACAAAGGAGAAAAAAAAATAACAGAATGGATATTAAACAACATGCTACCAAAAAACCAATGGGTCAATGATAAAATCAAAAAAGGAATTAAAAATACTTTGAGATAAACAACAATGAATACAGAATCACACAGAATGTATGGGATGTAGCAAAGGCAGTGCTAAGAAGGAAGTTTATAATGATACAGGCCTTCCTCAAATAAGAAGAAAAATCTCAAGTAAACAATCAAATCTACCAGCTAAAATAATTAGATAAAGAAGACCAAAAAAAGAAGAAAGTCAGCAGAAGGAATGATATAATAAACATTAGAGAAGAAAAACATAAAATAGAGATTTAAAAACAATAGAAAAATTAATCAAAGAGCTAGTGTTTTGAAAGAGCAAATAAAATTGACAAACCTTGGGCCAAGCTCACAAATAAGCAAAATAAGAGCACAAATAAACAAAACAAGACAGGAAAATGGGAATTCACAACTAATACCACAGAAAAGCAAAATATCATATGAGAATACTATGAACAACTATATGGAAACAAAATGGATAACCTAGAAGAAATGGACAAGTTCCTGGAAACATACAGTCTACCAAGACTGAATCAAGAAGAAACTGACCACTTGAACAAACTGATCACTAGAAATGAAATCAAATTAGCAATAAAAAAACCCTCCCTAAAAATAAAAGTCCAAGACTGGATGGATTCAGTGGGAAATTCTACCAAAATACAAAAAAAGAACTCATACTGGTCCTTCTCATATTTTACAGAAGATTGAAAAGGATGGAGTACTCCCAAACTCATTCTATGAAGCCACCATCCCACTGATACCAAAACCAGACAAAGACACCACAAAAAAAAGAAAATTATAGACAAGTATCACTGATGAACATAGGTGTAAATATCCTCAACAAATTATTAGCAAACAGAATCCAACAGCACTTAAAAAAGATCATACACCAACATCAAGTTGGGTTCATCCCAGGAACACAGGGTGGTTCACTATATGTAGTCAATCAGTGTAACATATCACATCAACAAAAGAAAGGATAAAAACCACATGATCATTTCAATAAATGCAAAGAAAGCATTTGATAAAATTCAACACCCATTTATGATAAAACTCTCACGAAAATGGGTATAAAAGTAACATATTTGAATATAATAAAAGCTATTTATGACAAACCTACATCTAACATCATATTCAATGGTGAAAAACTGAAAACTTTCCTACTGAAATCTGGGACAAGACAAGACTGTCCACTCTCAACACTCCAAACAACATAGTTTTAGAAGTCCTAGCACAGCAATCAGGCAAGAAAAAGAAATAAAAGTGATCCAATATGGAAAAGAAGAGGCAAAATTGTCACTGTATGCAGATGACATGATACTCTATATAGAAAATCCTCAAAGTTCCAAATTAAAACTACTGGAACTAATCAAAGAATTCAGCAAGGTAGCAGGATACAAGATTAATGTACAAAAATCAGTTGCATTTCTTTATACTATTGATGAATCAACAGGAAAAGAAAGTAAAGGAACAATCCTTTTTAAAATAACACCCAAAGTAATAAAATACCTAGGAATAAATCTAATCAAGGAGGTGAAAGACTTATACATGGAGTACTATAAAACATTGATGAAGGAAATTAAAGAAGACTCAAAAAAATGGAAAGATATCCCATGCTCCTGGATTGGAAGAATCAATATTGTTAAAATGGTCATACTGCCAAAAGAAATCTACAGATTTAATGCAATCTCTATCAAATTACCCAGGACATATTTCACAGAACTGGAACAAATCATAATAAAATTTATATGGAACTACAAAAGACCCAGAATTGCCAAAACATTACTGAAGAAAAAGAAAGAAGCTGGAGGAATAACTCTCCCAGGCTTCAGAAAATACTAGACAGAGCTACAGTCATCAAGACAGCATGCCACTGGTACAAAAACAGACATATGGACCAATGGAACAGTATAGAGAGCCCAGAAATGAACCCACAAGTTTTGGTCAATTAATCTTTGACAAAGGAAGTAAAAACATATAATGGAATAAAGACAATCTCTTCAGCAAATTGTGTTTGGAAAACTGGACAGCAGCATGTAAACCAATGAAGTTAGAATACTCCCTCAGACCATACAGGAAAATAAACTCAAAATGGATCAAAAACTTAAACATAAGACAAGACACAATGAACCTCCTAAAAGAAAGTATAGGCCAAACATTATCTAACATACATTTCAGCAGTGTTCTCCTGGGGAAGTCTACCCAAGAAATAGAAATAAAAGCAAGAATAAACAAATGGGACCTAATTAAACTTACAAGCTTCTGCACAGCAAAGGAAATCATTAGCAAAACCAAATGACAACCTGTGGAATGGGAGAAAATATTTGCAAAAGATGAAACTGACAAAAGCTTGATGTCCAGAATATATAAGCAGCTTATATGGCTTAATAGGAAAGAAACAAACAACCCAACCCCAAAATGGGCAGAAGACCTAAACAAGCAATTCTCCAATGAAGACATATGAATGATCAATAGGCATATAAAAAATGCTCAATATTACTAATTATCAGAGAAATGCAAACCAAAACTACGAATGAGGTATCACCTCACACCAGTCAGAATGGCCATAATTCAAAAGTCCACAAATAAATGCTGGAGAGGATGTGGAGAAATGCTGGAGAGGATGTGGAGAAAAAGAAACCCTACTATACTGTTGGTGGGAATGCAGTTTGGTGCAGCCATTATTGAAAACAGTATGAAGATTCCTCAAAAGACTAAAAATAGACTGAGAATATGACCCAGAAATCCCATCCCTGGGCATATATCCAGAAGGAACCCTAATTCAAAGACACCTAAACCCCAATGTTCATAGCAGCACTATTTTCAATAGCCAAGACATGGAAACAACCTAAATGTCCATTGACAGTTGACCAGATAAAGAAGCCCTGGTATATTTATACAATGGAACATTATTCAGGCATGAAAATGCCAACATAATGCCATTTGCAGCAACATGGATATCCCAGGAGAATGTCACTCTATGTGAAGTTAGCCAGGAACTGAAAGAAAAACACCATATATCACTCATATGTGGAAAAGAGGAAGAAGAAAGAAGAAGAAGAAGAAGAAGAAGAAG